CCCCCCCCCCCCCTCTCCCCCACACACATTTTTCTCTGCACTTTTCTAATGCTCCCCAACCTCGTTCCCAGGGCTTTCGTGTGAATAATAATAAAATAAAACGCCTGATCGCAGGTTACTTGTGTGAGTTGTGTCTCAATTTATAAATTATACTGCTGTTTCCGGTATGAATTTTATAATGTCGATATTTTTTCTGTTTTCATTTGTATGGCAAAGATAGAAGAATTACCAGTGGAAACCAAGACAAATCATGGTGGACAGTGACATTAAAACAGATGGAATATTGTACTCTGTCTTGATTATAGGTTGTAATCGAGGGCTTGGTCTTGAATTAGTTCGATTTTTATTAATTGGTTTAAAGAAACCACCACAATATTTATTTGCTACATGTCGTGATCTGGACACATGTTCAGCATTAAAAGCCTACAATGTATTTTGGAACTCAAGAAAAACTAAAGTAAAAATTTTACAACTTGAAGTGAATAATGATGATGACATTGCAAATGTTGTTAGTGCTGTTGAACAAGATTTGGATGGTGTTGGTTTGAGCGTTTTAATAAACAATGCAGAAACTCACACAAGGAAAGATTTGGACACAGTGTCTTGGGTTGATATGAAGAAAACATTTGAAACTAATACAATATCACCAATAATGATTGCCAGAGCATTTCGGTCAATTCTCAGTTCGTTTGTATTACTTGATTCAAACAAAGTGGTGTCTAAAAGTTATGCAGCTATTGTTAATATAAGTTCTGTATTAGGTAGGTCATTAATATGAATGATTGTTTAACACAGTAATAGCCAATAGGTGCAATGGGCCCTGGTACCCTATTATGTTGCATGCTTTACTTTGTCTAATGTCTAGTTTTACTTTTAAAGACAAAAGTATTTCCATGGGGACAATGAGTATAGCAGATATACCATACTTATATATACCAATCATTGTGCTAACCAAGGCCCGTTTCATATGCCGTACTTCACATGTGCCGAATGCATTAAAGACAATAGATAATGAGCTGAAATGCCTCATTACCTATTGTTTTTAATGTATTAGGCGCATGTGAAATACGGCGTATGAAACGGGCCCAAGTAACCCATCAACTGAATAAATTAAAAGGCATGGCTTCCAGTGCACCTAATTTGGATACTCTCTGGTTATTTAACCCATTGAGCACCAGCACTCACCTCTTGATGAGTAAAATTGTCTAATGTTAGACAGAGTAAAATAATAAAGTAGGGTGCAATGCAACTTATTGGGTTAAATTAAACAAACAACTTACAAAATTTTAAAAAAAATATATATATTTCACTGCTCTCATCTCAAAGTTGTTATAGTACTCATTATTGTCTCAAATCAAATGTCAATCATGCAATTCTTAAATTGTGAAATATAAATTCCCCCCCCCCCCCCTTCCCATCTACTTCTAGGGCATTATTGAACCTCTGCCAACTTGCAGTGTTGCCCCGGTCAGGCTTAATTCGCCATTTTGGTTTATATAGTTTTACTTGTCAAGAGAAGAGTGTTGTCTATTTCAAGGAGGGTTATATGCCTGCATGCATGGTTCAGGAAAAAGACTGGATTCAGACTACAATCAGAGCCTGTGCTTTGTGTGGTTTAACCACACTATCTGTCTTTGTCTCTTGAGCATTAATCTCTCTATTCATGTTGTTGTTTTCATTTGATTCAGGATCCATTTCAAACAATAAAGAAGGTGGAATGTATCCATACCGAACAAGTAAGACAGCTCTGAACATGGCAACAAAGTGTCTTAGTGCGGACTTGAAAGATAATGGGATTATTGTTATCAGTTTGCATCCAAGAAATATTCCAAACAAGTTGGAAGGACCATTGCCATACTCATTTACAGCTTCACATATAATAAAATTTATATCAACATTAGATATGACTCACACTGGAGGCTTCTATACTTATAATGGGACATTGATTCAATTTTGAATTAATTTAATGCAAATTTTGTGAATTATATAAATTATAACTAATTTAAATGGTTTAATTTGATAACTAAGATTGACCCACTAGAGAATTTTAGGTAATGGATCAATTAATAAAGGTTAAAATTATTGAAAATGCAACGACCAATAACGAATTTTAATATGGCGTACTAAGACTCATTGTAGAATTCATTGTAGGGCCACTGAGCTGTATAAGTACCCTAGGGGTCGGTTATACGAAAGGTGTTTAACTTTAGGCGGACCAAATTGTAATAGAGTGTCTTAGTGTCTAATAGTATATATCTCTGTATCTCACCTTTGAATACAACACACAAAAAAACAAGAAAGCTAGATCAACGCTATATTTCACATCATCAAACGTTGCGACAAAATGAAAACTATAGAGTATAGGCGTTACAAACGAGAATCCTAAAATGATCCACTCTCCTCCACAGAGGCTTACTTGTTTTTTAGTTACTCGCGGGCTACACACATAAAAACGCACAAGTGAATTGTTACAAGTCTGCAAACAAGTTGTTACAAATCTGTTCACAAGCTGTCGACTAGACTTGGTTCAAGTCCGTCACAGGAGAAAAGTAGGGAGAGACGGACTTGGAACATTCGCAGCATTTCGAATGTTACTTGCAAAAATTGGCGCGAAAATTTGTTGTTCTCAATTGGCAAGCCACGCCTCCGTAGGAAAAATCCGACGGTAAAATTTGGCGCGCCTGCAGGGTATCCAAGTCCGTCTCTCCCTAGTTTTCTCTCATATTTTCGCGCCTTTTTTGACCGTTTGTGTGCATCGCTATTTTCAACCCCTTGTCCTTGAGAGACGGACTTGAACCGAGTCTAGCTGTGGACAAGTTAGTTGTGTTCGCATTGCTTGTTCCCAGTTGTTGGGACAAGTTTGGAACGAACTGTAAACAATATCAAACTTGTTACAAGGTTGTTCTAACAAGTCTGAGGGTCTCCCATGGGTTTTTGGGGAACAAGGGAACACTGTAAATTTTACAATGGGAACACGGGAACAAAGGAAAACAAAATTAGGGAACAAGGGAACACGAAATATATTGGGGAACAGGGGAACAAAGCCCCTTTCCTAGAATATATACAAGTGGTACAATGGCCTAATGTATTGTAGATGAAAAATGGGCATAATATATCGTTTTCTCCAATTTGTCCAACCAGCTAGTGTACTTGTGGTAGACTGTTCTATGGGCTGCTTGAGGATGATAAGTGAAGTTTCTCCTCTAGTCAGATTTTTGAGCAGCCATCATGACTTTTCTCGGTCACATTTTGCTTGCACCTGAAAAAGCAGATACCAACGGCAACGCCCTTCACAATCGACGCAGCAATCACCAGAATCGAAGAGGTATATGACTTCGATTGTCAGTGCATACATAGAACAAGTCAAAGCCTTCCTTAGAACAAATGCCCAGAGCCAAGGTCCGCAAGGAAACGTTTCTTCAGTCGTTGTGGAAGACGAAACAAGAATCTTTGGGAGAAATGCGAGGTCTGCTTCAAAAGTATGATCCACAGCTTTTGAAGTTGTTCAAACTTAAAGCCGTTTGACGCTGGTAGTCGAGAATTGTTTCTCCGAGATAAGGGCAGGGCATGTGATATGCCAATGCAGTTGCAGTTCGACTTTCACTTCAGTCGAGCAATGAAGGAGCACTTGAATACTTCAAGTCAAATCTGACTTGAAGTATTCAACTCTACCAAAGATGGCCCCACCTTCAGCAGCACAGTTGACAAAGTCACAAGTGCAGCAAATGAGAGACTGGCGCATAAAGTATGGTCAAAGTGTCCCACAGAATACCGTGCGGAACATGAGCACTAAAGACAATCTGGGTACTCTGCCGATAAATCTCTATGCCCTGGCACAGCCAGCTAGCGAGCCTTTGGAATTCTCGAAAATTACAGAAAATGGTACCCAAACAGACACACACCATGCCAACACGCACAACATTCTTCATTCCACTGGGGACGTTGTTTTTCTTGCCTCGTATGCCAATTGTGGGCGGATGATGATCTACCATCTACAAGAAAACGTTAGTGTTTCAACAAAGAAAGCAAGAGCCACAAGAAGTTCTCAAGGTCAATGCGAAAGAAATACCTGGTTCTCAAGTGGAAACCGTTTGCAGGAGATAGCAACCTTGAACTGACAGAGAATGAGTTTCTAAGATAGCAGTCGAGAATGATTGAATGTGTTGATGCTGTGACGATTGAAGAGGCGAGAGAAATTAGAGAGCGCCAGGATATCGACCAAGAAAGTGCAACAGATACGAAGCCAAGACGTGCGACAAAGACACCACATAGGCTACTGACGATTTTGTATATTATGATTAGTAAAGGTGATACTTTAGTACTTTAATCGTTGGAACAATTGAAGAAACTATAAATGCAATGCTGTTTATTAGATCTATTTTTGTTATGTAATACAGTGGCGTAACTACTATGGGCTCAGACCGTGAGAACCCGGGGGCCCCAACCTAAATGGGGGCCCCCAGGCTTAGGCAATAGAACAAAAACATTGGTCAGGGCCTCTGATATGTTACAATGTAGTTTTATGACCATCAGAATTCTGTAAAATCTCTCCCCAAAGTCCAGGAAATGGCATTTCAGAGAGTCTAAATTCAAAAAATTTTCCGGATGAGCATGCCCTGGACCCCCTAGAAAATTCGTGCAAAATTCGTGCAAAATTGCGTTGCTTTTTCATACGATACAGAATAAGTCTGAGAAGAAATATTCATGCTATGATGATGCATACATGGATTTAACAGTTAAAAATCTAAACTAAATCTATTCTTCTTGGAACCATATCTACAACTGCTTTAACGAGATTTCACAAATCATGTTCCTCCAGTATATCGTCTTTTTCCTCAGTCGAAACGTACTTAATCAGTTTCAGCTTCGAACATGTAACGTGTACCCCCCCCACCAAAAAAAAAAATTCTCTACGGATTTAGCCTTTCTGAGAGAATGGTTTTTGTGGCGATTGGGGGGGGGGGCTCTTAATATAACTTGATATTTTTAAGAAAAAAAATTTGCAATAAGACCTCCCAAAACAAAACACAACGCCTCTGCGGAAGAGAGTGCTAGGAAATATTCGTAAGGCTTGGAAAGGCTAGCACTTTATCGGATTGTTTGCATGAGATCTATCGCTATTATGAAATACTCGGTGAAGAACAAGATGAATTACACACAAGATGGCTGTGGAGGAGGCTATGGAAGGGCATAATCTCATTATCAAGTAAATCAACTGCAATTCTGACAGCAATCATGAGCAATTCTGCTTCGCACTTCGGGGGCCGAAATGGCTTTACTGGGGGGGGGGGGATTCTTTCCCCGGGGGGAAATGTCCCCCCCCCCAGATATATAGTTAAAAAAGGCACTGAACATCGTTCCACAATAAAAGCATGTGTAATGCTCGTCGTATCTGTGTATTCAGTTGCATATCCCGGGTAGCCGGTTTCGATCGGTGCGTAAAAACAGAGACCTTGGCCTTGGGTTGAATTCGCGGTTGGGACAGTCACACTCAGAAACTAATTTTTCATCAAGTGATTCGACTCCATTTGAACAACACAAGTTACGATCCTATGAACAGTCAGCAACACCCGCTACATGAAACGATTGGATAATACTATATTACTGATTTGGAATTGAAACTGCTTGGAAGAAAGAGGACAAGGTAAAATTCTCAACTACTAACTGCCAATGAAATTGCTCCATCTATCTGTCGGCTTTTCTTGTCTTTAAAACTTAGTCTTAGAATTGAAAAGAGGTCAACGTATTGAACGTACTGCACCGGTCTTATTAAACTATTAAAGAGTGACAACACAGTTTTTGCGTGGAAACTGTATAGACTAACATTTAATTTAATTTAATTTAATTTAATCATTTGTCACAACACAATCATTACGCATACATCTACAATAAACAGAGGACATAAGTGTGACTGGGGAAAGGAACAGGACTTGCGTCCCAATTGATACCTGACCGGCTGACCCCAACATTATAACTAGACTTTGCTGCTTGTTGCACACCGAGCACAATGACTTTTCGCATGCATGATTCGTGACAAAAGTACTGAGGTACACATGGGAATAGGTCATTAGTAAGTGAATGTCAATATTTCTAACTATTTCTCAAAAAAATCACTAGCCTAACCAAAAACTTATTTTGCAACAGAATCATATGGAGCCTCAGTTCGTTTCTCCCTCGTTCAAGTACGAGGTTCAGTATCTTAGATGTCAAAAAATCTCTTTGTGGTTAGCTATGACTGCCTATGGCGTTAATTTTCATAAAAGTTTATATAAATTGTGAAGAGCGGTCCGACGCAATTGTCCGACGCAAGACTTCCCGAGCACTCCAGTAGTGATATATAACTCAGTGTTTTTCACCAGATATGTTGTTGCCACGACAACAACAAGTTACAAGAATTTCCAAAATGGCGACTGTCGAGGTGAATCAAATGGCTTTTGAACAAACTTTTATCGCACCAAACAAGCACAACCAACAAGTTCCGAATCATCTACTTGACACAAGTATGAGTTTTGTATCTTTAAAATTATAATACATATTTAGACGTTAATTTTGGGCATTTTTTTACTTCATGTTTGCAGAAATTTTTAGCAAAGTTGCCGAAAATGACGTTTTCCAAGCCAGTCCTTCAAGGATTCATTTTACTGGATTTGAACTGAAGAAGACATCAAAGCAAGTTCTGGTAGGTTGATTATGGTGTTCTTTGCTATCCTTGTTTCAGAAGTTTGCTCGCGTACTTTATTGCTACAAGCTAGTACAACAACAGCAGTGAGCAGTGCAACAGAACACTACTGTAACAAAAATCTACAATCATTTACCTGACTCCAGTTAAGGTATTTGTGGTAGTACTGCTGTTACTGTGGTATGAAAAGATATCAGAATTATAGTTGTAGTAGAAATAAAAATATACAAATAAGCAATAAATATCTGATCTCCTTTGGAAACTTAAATTATGGCCTAGGCCGCCTAGCACCTGACTGGAAAGTTTGGAAACTGCGCGGGGAAGATTTCGAAAATTTAATAGTAAATATATCATATATAGAAAGCATCAAAATTGCGTGGAGAAGAACTTCCCTGTGCACAGCAAAGATTCCAGTCTGGGCCTAGCTATTAACAAATAAATTTTAACTTGAAATTGTGGACACAGCAGGCTTTCTGTGCAGCCTTGTAACCAAAACCAACTTTTTGAAAAAGGGTGTGCATTCGGTGCCACATTGTTGGAAGGGGTCAAAGCAGTCACAGAACCACACTGGAAACGTTGCATTGTACACGGAAGATCTTCCATGCTCAGGCAAACATTCATGTGGCACGTGCAAAATTATATTTCCACAAGTGTCATTAAGTGCCTTTTACTCAAGTGCAGGCTTGGCCTGTGAAAGATAAAGGTATTAAGCTTTTACATGTGCAAAAACAAGTCTTGGCTGCACATAATTTTATGAAATATAAGATTCTTTTGTGCGCACATAACAAAATTTTGAGTCTGGTTACAGAACATGTACCTGTAAATCACAGGAGGAAATCTATGTGTCTATGACTCCTGATTAACCTTAAAAATGAAATTATGTCATACATGGGACGTAACCCCCCTACCCCCTTCGGGTACCCTAATACACTTACTATCAGAAACAAATTGTTTCCCTTCTGGACGGCAGAAATTTCCTCCTTGGGGGCAGGGTGGATGTTTCCACATGTGGTCACACAGGTGGATATGTGCATTGTGCATATGCATGTTATGTCACAAGAAGGATCACAGAAAATAAATTTCACCTGGATAACCGGATATTGGTCATTATGAGCCCAATATTATACTTCAGTTTGCCTAGTGACAATTATACCAAATTGACTGATGAATACCAAATTGACTGACAACATTTTAAGCATCTACTAATTATTATTTGGTCACCTGTGAGTAGTTGTATTTGCATGCTAACCCAGCTTAAATTGACATCACCAAAACCACAATCATCATTCATCAATGAGATCAGAAACTAATCCAAGATGGCAGAATAACCCATTGTTTTCAGTCATTGTATTTCAAAAACTAAGTAAACTTATCTATTAATTAACCTTTAAGTGGCAATGCACCCAGATGCGCCCTACTTTATTATTTTACTCTGTCTAATGCCAGACGATTTTACTTGCGAGTCAGGGGGAGAGTGTTGCCACTCAATGGGTTAAGCAAGATAATTACACTGGCCTGTAAGGCCAAGTGTCTTAAATCCCCCTTTTTCTGTTTTTTTCGTAGTCGAGAAATCGAGTTTGCGTTAGCTCATCGCAGGCTCAGGGTGCAACGATTAAGCCAAAATGCCATCGATTCCCTCGGTTCCATGATTTAGATAGTGTAGTAATAAGCTCATATATATGTACGTAATAGCCGACTCATGCCATGCTTGTGGTACATTTTTCGTTTATTAGCCTATACACTTGTACGCACGCGCACAATTCCGAACTGCAATGGCGGCTTTTCACAGAGTGATCAAACTATATTTTACACAGTTTCGTTGAATTTTCAAAGAATTGTGCCGATTTCCTATGTATTTTACGTTGTGTCGTACTCTGGATTTTCTTGCGTGTTGAATTAATGTGTTTTTCTTTGTGTAATGACTCGAAAACCACAAAATATATTATTTAGTACTCCACGAAATATAATCCGCGCGAAAAGCTTTGTGGTAGCTATACTAAAGATAAAGCGTGCGTTCAAAATACCAACAAGAACTAGAACCATTATTGTATCATTTGTATGGTTCTCATTTGCTAGACTTGCCACAAGTCGACCTCGAAGAAACGCATTTCGTTCGAGGTCGACTTGTGGCAAGTCTACTCATTTACAATAACATAGCCTCCTCCGCAGGCAACTGTATAGTTCTGCAACGTTATTAACCATAAAAGATTTATCAGGAACGTAGAAAATACAAGGAAATACTAGTTCTGAAATACGATATGATATTTATAATAAACACTGGAGCGTAACTACATTATCCACAATCCTCCCTATTTTTACGCTCCAGTGTTTATTATAAATATCATATCGTATTTCAGAACTAGTATTTCCTTGTATTTTCTACGTTCCTGATAAATCTTTTATGGTTAATAACGTTGCAGAACTACACAGTTGCCTGCGGAGGAGGCTAGGTAAAGACCAAGTTTTATATATAATTTTAATTAAATGAGTCGATGAGTATTGCCAAACTCTTGCACAAACCTGGGCATTAAATGGAAGATAATTGTACTGACAATATGAAAGCAGATGATTGGATTGTCTGTCAAGACAATGTATATGTGGACTGTGGGGTTTGTTTACACAGACATGCATATATTGTTCATCTTGCAAATCCGTTTTTGTGTAATATATAACTTAAAAGTTACTATGATTACTTTATAAAGTTAAACATGTACAACCTCAGCCAAGCTATCATGGATCTCTGCAGACTATAGTTATAATTACAGTTTACAACAAGTCAAGATAAGAAAATTTCCCTGGACACCAGTGGCATAGCCAAGGGGGGAGCCAGGGGGGTGACCACCCCCCCCCCCAATCGCCACAAAAACCATTCTCTCAAAAAGGCTAAATCAGTTTGGGGGGGGGGGGGGAGACACGTTACATGCTCGAAGCTGAAACTGATTAAGTACATGTACGTCTCGACTGAGGAAAAAGACGATATACTGGAGGAACTTGATTTGTAAAATCTCGTTAAAGCAGTTGTAGCATGTTAAATACATGTATGCATTATCATAGCATGAATATTTCTTCTCAGACTTATTTTGTATCGTATAAAAAAGCAACGCAATTTTGAGAATGCGGAAATGGTATCTCATAGAACCTAGAATGATTTAAATGCAACATTTCTGATCAAAATCACATTGTGATTCCCAGCATCACAGAGGGGAAATAAGGTGACACTGACCCCTCCTCCTGTTTTTCAAGTTCACTTTTCCAATTTATTTAATTCCGAGTAGAAATGTCTTGGAAAATTCATGTCTTCCATGTACTTTATAGTCTTCAGAATTCTGCAAGATTTCACCCCCAAAATGCTTGAAATCGCATTTCAGGGACTCTAGATTTCAAAATTTTCCTGGGGGTGCATGCCCCCGGACCCTCATAAACGGTCTCACGCCTTAGTCTTTTGCGGATTGTTATAATTATAATTTAAATTTGCTTTGATTTTTGAGCTTAACATGGCAGAAGCATAGCATCACGGAATGTAAAGAAGATTCGTGTATTATTGATGGACATTGTTTTTTTTTGTGATACGGATGCATGCAATGTGTAATTCTTTTTATTACTTTGACCAATAGATTCTGTACCAGATCACAGACTATTGTTCTGTGACAGAGGGAAAGGAAGTCAGGTTTTGAGAAATTAAGAACTGCACATTTTGTCATAATATTAGTCACAAGATGTCATACGGTGAAATCAGAGTTGTGTCGGAGGATTTACCTAAAATTTGAATTTCAATGTTAAAAATTTACCTAGCGCTTTTTGTGATTGATTTAGACTATCATACTAAGTTTCGGGAGAAAAGAGGGGTCTGTCTGGGGGTCCTCCCCCAGAAAATGTTTACATTTTTGAAGCTCTACAATCACGTGCAAAAATAATGAGACCTTACGTATTTCAAACATTTTTTTTCATTTTGACACATCTACACTCATATAATTCGATCTTTTCTTACTATTTCCCCCTCCCCCCATTGACAATGTTGGGTGAATGTTTTCAGCCAACACTGTAGTTTGGTATCATGGTAACAACATTGTGTTTTTTTGGGAGGGGAAGGGGGGGGGGGGGCGAATAGGATGTCTCGATAATTCTGTACCAGATCACAGACTATTGTTCTGTGACAGAGGGAAAGGAAGACATAGGATGTCTCGATAATTTTTGCTCCTGATTGTCTCTACATATGCAAATTTTAAGCCAATTTTATGTCTAAGTTGTCGCGAGAAAATATGATCGTAACTTTTCTTTTGGTTGTCAATCTTTTTTTATGTTGACTTGACAATAAATTCACGTAATTATTATTATTATTATTATTATTAATGGTTTAAGATACACACCTTCGCAATAGATTGAATTATGGTGCGTTTACAAAATTGGTACGCTATATATTTACATATATAAAAATTTAGTTGCATGCATCAAGTCTAAAAATCTTATTGAATTGCATTAAAATCATCGTAATTAAGTATCACGCTTAAGTTTCTTTACTATAACTATTATATAGAGCTACTGTACTGGGAAAAAAGCTACGGCGATATCTTTCTGTTCGGCATTTAATTGTTGTTAATGTGTTAGAGTTTCTAAGTTCATAATCATTTGAACTAGCCCTAGACAATGGAACATATTTTGACAGTGGTCCTTCAATTTCTATGCGTTTCATAGTATTGAGGCAATGTCGTTCTCGCCTTTCATCCAATCTGGAACACCCAAGTTGTGCTAATGCTTCCCTATAAGAGTAACCCGGTAAAATAATCCTCAGCGCTCGTTTTTGCACTCGCTCTAAATCATCGGCGTGGTACAAAGGTAGGGCATGATGCCATACCACACAACAGTACTCCAGAACCGATCGTATTAAGGCAAAGTATATACTCAATAAGTCTTCCGCAGGGACACCACCTCGTCGTAATATGCGGATGATATATAAACGTTTAGAAGCCTTGGATACAACTGGTTCTATGTGTGCATTCCAT